TGGTCACTTTTGTCTTCCCGAAATTCCTTAAGATTTGTGCTAGTTTTACATAACTCGACGAAAAACATTGGATGTGGGATAAAAGGAAGATCAAGTTCCTTTCACGAATACGGTTCATCAGCTTATCTTTATATACTGCAGGCCCACCTTTCAGCATCCAGAATGCATTCATCCTTACGCTTTTGACGATCCGATTATTGCTAAAAACGAGGTTTGGCTGTACACAATTTCTATTTGATTATTGCGTTAAATTGTAGTCACCGGCTTTTCTTGTATCAGAGCCAGGATCATTCCGATCAGAACATTAACTACAAGGAGCATCGTCATCCAATATGCTACGTTTGTGGGAAACCTGTGAGTGTGTTTTATTATTTCATTTACTTTATTTTCGCAGCTTTTCCTCAAGCACAATGATTGATTAAACTCATAGACACACAAGCACAATCTTCTTTTTTTGCTTTTTTTTTTTCTTGGTTACAGATTGAAGTAGATGCATCTGGTCATCTTCAATATCGGGAACATCCTTTCTGGCTAGCAAAGTATTGTCGACGGCATGACACAGATGGAACTCCTCGTTGTTTTTGCTGTGAAAGATTGGAGGTTGGTTTTCACTCAAACCCATACCTTATCTAACGGTTGAGATCATTTGGCCTCGCGTACATGAGAAGCATTTAGTCAGAAAAATGTTTTGATAGATGCCAAGCAAACCATTACCAAAATACTAGACATATACACGTACGCCCCTATCTTACTCATATTACAGATATTTCCCCCCTTGCTCTCTCTTTGTTTTTTACTCGATTTCTTTGGGGTAACTAGCACTAATCTATATCGGGTGTGGTAGTCCCTCTATCTCAACCACGCTAACTAATTACAGAGTCACACATATTTGTAAATCTTGGGGGTGGCCCCAAGGAATAGGTGGTAAGGGAGGGCGAACTTAGGACCTCTCTCTTCATAAGACGAAAATATCCTAAGGCCTAACCGCTCAACCAAATCATGAGGGTTGTCCCCTTGCTTTTGGTTGACTTTAGAGTACATAAAATTTATGTAGTGAAATAAAGTAGAAGCTAACGAGTCGTGCAATTTTAATATCAAATCCGAGAGGATAAAATTACCAAAGAAAATCAATAAAAAAAAAAGGGTCGCATTTTTTCCACTCCTCCTTTAGCTTAGACACTTCATTTTCTTGTGTTTTGACTCGACTATCCTTAGTGGGTTCATCACTTCTGGTATAACTCTACAAAAGTGATCCATTTGGTATTATTTGGTCAACTTTTTTTATTTTGTTTCTTCTTCTTTTTTTTCCATACGGGTCTTACTTTCCTTCTTCTTTCTTTCTTTCCACGCCTTTGACGACTCAGTTCTCTGCTCTTGCAAATCATCTCTGTGTTTTCTCTTTTGTAGGCCATTCTCGTCTTTCTATACCTCCCACTCCTTCTTCTTCTTCCCCAAACCCGTCGTCCTTTATTTTCTATCTATGATGCCAACCCCTTCGTCCTTCAAACTTTCACTGGCACGGGCATTGAGCTTACCGGTGACCTCCCCAACAAGCCATTTTTCTCCACCGCACACGGGTGGTGGAATATTATACCACATTGTTGTCGATCCTGTATAGTAGAACGCATTTGTTCTTAAAGCAAAAGACACGCACTGCGAGAGACCACATCACCATTTCAAAGGAGGAGTGGAAAAAGCGCCGCCCAAAAATAATAAGAACATCAAATATTTACATAGTTCAATTTGAAGAATTTCCTACATCCACGAGAAGAGCTAGCGGCAAAAAATCCACTATGAATCAAAAAATTACAGAAATGCAATCGTTCAACTCCTTAAATGTTTCTAAATCCTAGATAACACCCAAGTAAACCAAACAAATCACAAACTCTACCAAAGAACTAACTCAAAAAACACACAAAACGAGAAATCTAACTCTTATTTTGATTGCTTTAAATTGTAACCTTTGAAAATATGTCAAAATGAGTTTTTAAACACGAGTTTACGAGGGTCTATGCAATAGCCAGGCTCCTGCCTGATGGCCGGTGCCAAAAGGCACTTTCCAGGCCACTTCCCCTGCTCCGGGTTAGACTGGGCCGGTCTGCAAGCCCATGCCCAATAGCTACGTGCTACTGGGCAAGCTAGGTGCTACCGGGCACAACTAGCCGAGCGCCTGGGCCTTTGACTTGGTCATCAGTCCCTGCTCACTCGCACCTAGGGGTGTGCATGGTCCGGGTGGGCGGTTCCCACCCCGGAACCATGGACCGCCCGCTACAGGACCGGTTCCAAAAATTGGAACCGAGAATCGCCCGAGAACTGGACCGCCGGTCCGGTCTGGTTCTTGGGCGGGTCCATGGAACCGGTCTCAACAAGTTTTCCTAAACAAATAAAAAAAAAATTTGTGGACCAACATCGGATCAACGGAACAAAAGGAAAATAACATAACTTTTCATACAATTCCTACACTATGATCAATTATATTAATCACATCATCCATAAATCAAGTGGATACCCATTAATTATTGGGAAAAATGACCAAGGTATCCCAACTACACAAGAGCTTCAGACATGATAACAATTTTTCTTCTTCTTTTTTTAATTTTTTTTGGTCAGATTTTTTTAATTAAAAATTAAAAAAAATAAAATATATTATTATATTACCGGTCCGGTCCGGGTGGGCGGGTGGGCGGTTCCACACCGGGAACCGGGAACCGGCCTAAACAGTACCGGTTCCAAAAAATTGGAACAGGGAACCGGACCGGTTCCCTTGGGAACCACCGGTTCCGGGCGGTTCCGGGCGGGTCCCGGTTCTTTTGCACACCCCTACTCGCACCCAAACACCTCTAACTCGTCTCGGGTCTATTTTGTTCTTTGTGCTTTGTTCCGAACTCCGATTTGGCAAAAAATTGAGCCAATAATTTAATAACTCTCCACCTTGGCTCAATCTTTATGGTCAAGTCATATTGCTCGTCATCTATGCCGGCTCTCCTGACATTCCCATGGGCACTCAACCACCACAAACATCCTTTAAGTCTCGGTTGGGCTCGATCTTGTCTAGAGGAATGAACTTGGTCAAAATGTCCTCAGGATTTTTTGCCGCAAAAAACTTCTTCATAGTCACGTCCTTTCCTAACATTGTTATCTCTTATATCGGTCACCAATGATCTTGATTCTCCCATGATATCTTTCGCTTCCACTCGAGACAACAATTAGTCTAATGAACCACACCAACATCACTAATCAAAGTTAGGAGACCACAGTGCCATTTCAACTTCTTCCATTGTCACCATGTTTACAGCCTCAATCATCGACAATATCATCATGTCCAGCAACAACACCTTCCAACTTACAACACAACTCAAGAAGAAAAGGCATACTTATTTAGAAATCAACTATTCTTTAGGTTTTGCATGACCAAGCCTACAAACCCAGTTATTGCCACACTATCTGAACTACACCCTCTGAAACATTACTTAATATTTGTTGTTCCAAACAAGTCCAAGAGGATCCATCTCACAGCGTCACAATGTATACCTAGATTAGCCTTACACATTCTTCTAACAGTATATGAAGTATTAAGCCTAGTACTATTACATGGCATTACTTAGATAACCAACAGTTCTAGCATTTGGAGCACATGAAAAATGCTCTACTTGTACCAAAGTGTACTTTGACAATGTAAACTATTTATGATAGTATTAATACAACTGAAAACTCTAAACTAGTACACATGTGACAAATTTTCTTCAAATTAATTTTTTAACCACCAAAAACTCAACATTGGTACACCTATGACAAATTTACCCAAAACTAATTTTTTAACAACGAAAAATCTCAAACTGGTATACTTGTGACAAATTTACTCTATGTTAATTTCCGTTAAATTATATTAATACCACGAAAAATCACAAACTGGTAAACCCGTGACAAACGGAGAGTAAAATCCCAAACTAGTATACCCATAAACTGTCACGTGTCATCAAACTCAGCAGTTTAATGGTAAAATCTAACGGAAACTAACAAAGGGTAAATTTGTTACATGTGTACTAGTTTGGGGTTTTCGACGGTCAAAAAATTAGTTTGGGGTAAATTTTTCACAAGTGTACTAGATTGAGATTTTTTGTAATACTAACCCTTTATAATATGCAATAAGTGGGGGAGCTTATTGATTTCACCAACTATATGTTTAACTTTTTAGAGAATTCGCCAATATGACTCCTTGAACAGTCTTCTCTATCTACGGCTCATGAAACCATCTTCACCAATCCCCAATCATAAATCCTCTGTACATCACTGTCGCTCTAGCTCATCCATCTCTACTGACCATCACTACAAAAAAACATGAATTTTGCCACGGAAATTTGCGACGGAAATTTTTCGTCGCTAATTTGCGACGGAATTTTTTTTCCGTCGCAAATTACCGACGAAAATTATTCGTCGCTAATTTGCAACGGAATTTGCTACGAAATAAAAATCCGTCGCAAATTAGCGACGAAAAAGAGTCCGTCGCAAAAATTTGCGATGGACATCGCAAAAAGAGTCCATCGCAAATTTTCGCTCTTGCCGAGAGCGACGACGACACCACAAAGTTGGAAGCTCTGGCCCTGTTCCGCGAGATGGTCCGGGGTGGCCACGTGGAGCCCAACGGGTTCACGTTCCCTCCGGTGTTGAAGGCTTGTGCGAGGTTGGGGATGGTGAAGGAAGGGAGGCAGGTTCATGGGATGGTTGCTAAGTGTGGTCTGGATGGTGACGAGTTTGTTCTTAGTAACCTTGTCAGAATGTATGTGCTCTGCGGTGTCATGGAGGATGCTTACGTTTTGTTTGATGAGAGAATTGTTCGGAGTGGTGGAGTGGGGAAGAAGATGAATCTCAGGAGGCAAGAGGGGGACGTGGTTTTGTGGAATGTGATGGTCGATGGGTATGTTAGAATGGGGGATCTTAGAGCTGCTCGGGAGCTGTTCGATAAAATGCCTCAGAGAAGTGTTGTGTCGTGGAATGGGTGACTTTGGGTGTGTTTTTGAGATTGGCCCTGTTTTTAGGGCAGAAAACTCCTTCACACATAGGCATTTGTGTGAATTTACTGGCCTTGATGTTGAAATGGAGATTAAGAAGCACTATTGTGAGGTTGGATTGGATACTTTTTCATTTAACTGAATTTTCAGTTTAGCTTAACGAACTAAACGTTTATGTGCAGGTAATGGACATTGTGGACAAGTTGTTCGTTACAATGTTCGACTCATTGAATGCGAGTTGCAAGAAAGAACTTGAAGCTATTGGAAGACAATACCCCTTTGAACCTTTAAAGGTTATACTATGATCTTTTTTTTTTCTTTTTTGCAATCTGATTACATAAATAGTGCAACTCATGGGCAGTAACTTTTAATTGCAGTACTTGAGAAAGACCTTGTGGCTTACTTTTCAAGAAGATGTTCAAATGCTCAAGGTGAGGAAAAAATTTTCGGCAGCTAAATAGCTGCCCATAAAAAAAAAGGGAACAAATAGAGTAGCAACATATCGGTTCATTGGCACTTCTATATCATGGCTGTAAAAGTAGGACAATGAGTTCTCTTGCTGATTTTTTGTTTGTTGCTTTTAAATGAAACTGATTGTTTGTGGTAGCACTCCTCTTACCTGATGATTTGTTCTGTTGGAAGAGGAACCGCAAGAAAGTGATATTTACAACTATATGCCGTGCACGTGTACATTGGGGGCTGATTTGTTCTTGGCTTTTGTTGCTTTAGCTTGATTTTGTTGTTTGATCTGATTCAGGGCTGATTTTGTTGGTTGTTTTGATATTCGCGAAAATGGAGGATCTCGTGGCTTTGTTTGAGCCCATTGCATTGTCTCCGTCGGAGTCTTCGATAATATTGCTACTCCTGGTTTTCTCATGTTTGCTTTAAGCTGGTTTGGTTTTGTTGTCTCTGTTTTTTCTCTCTTTTGACTGTTCTCCTTTCGGCTCTACTATAGCTCATAGCATCTGAATATATTTTACTCGTATTCTTGCAATGCAAAGGAAAAGAGGCAATAGATTCTAAGAAGCAAATGTGATTTGGTATGTTAACCTATATTGGCATATTGTATTGGGCTACATAGCTTAGCTGGGTCAAAGCTGATGTGATTGGTTCCATCTTTTTCCTCTCCTTGCTTTTAGTCGTGGGGCTTGGGTTTTTGAGGATGGGAATGAATGGGGCAATCAAGAGTCCAAAACCCTTCTTTTGTCTTCTGGTCTTGGGGGTTGCACCAGGTGTTATTTGCTTTTTTGAAAATACCCTGTGGGAGAATTATGGCTTCATTCAAAATGATTGATTATTTGAATGCAGTGATACCTGCTTAGAATCATGCATTTGTGGAAAGTCATGTGTATTGTTCTTTGCACGTTGCGGGTGCTGGAAGCACTCCACTTCATTATGCTGCTCGTGGTGGAAGTGTGCAGTGTTGTCAGGTATTTTGTGGTAGCTAAAAGATGAATAGCATCCAATATCATTCTTTATTTTGTTCATGTCACTTACATAAATGTTTTTTTTGTGGTGGAAGTGTGCAGTTGTGGACAGTGAACCAATTTGGAACACCTACGTTGCACCTTTGTTTCTTTACTTCTATTAGATTTATCACTGAAAGTGAACTTCAACATTTTTCCTCTATATTTCATTTACCTTCGTTGCTTTACTTAATTAAGATTGCTTGCTTCACAGTCATTATGTATCCTTTAGAAGCTGAATATATTAACATTTAATGTGGACACAATGTCACTAATTTTGTGTCTAATTCCAGACAATTTGTGTTTTGTAGAAGAATAGCTTTGAGCAATTCTGCATAAGTTATGCAAATGAGAGGTTGCAACAACATTTCAACCGGCATTTGTTAAAACTGGAGCAGGAAGTGAGCATCTCACATGGACCGTGTCTTTAGTTTTGTTTAGTATTTTATATGATGGGGATTGTCGCTAAAAGCAGGATATTCTTTTTTGATTCAAATCTGTCGTCATTATTTATTGTAAAAGATTATTGTGCAAGATTATTTATTCTCTCATTATGTGTACTATAAAAAAAATATATATGTCAATTCTTGTGGAAAATGTAGATGAATGTATTTCATTTTCATATTATTATAATATTTTGATGTTATTAATTGCTTAATCAATGTTAAATATAAATTCCAAAAATTAATTTTGCTTTTAATTAGGATTAAAATCAAAAAATAAAATAAATTATTTTATCGTACGATCACAAATTACAAAAGTTCGTTGCAAAAATAAAATTTCGTTGCTAATTTTGTCCCTAAACGATAATCGTCGCAGAGTTCGTCGCTAAAGAATTAATAAAAAATCGTCGCTAAATTCGATCATAAATAATGTTGATGGCAAATGTAAAAAAATTTGGTGGCAAATTAGCGACGAATTTTGCCATGAATAAGTTCGCTGCAAATTACTGACCAAAATTTTTTTTTTGGCAAATTAGCGACGAATTTTGCGATGAATAATTAGCGACCAAATTTGCGACTAAATTTGTGACGAAATTTGCGTCGATATTTGCGACGAATTTTGCGACTACATTTGCAACGGAATTTGCGACGAATTTTGCGACGAATTATTTGCAACAAATTTTGCGACGAATTTTGCGACGAAATTTGCAACAGATTTTGCGACGAATTTTGCGACGAATTTTGTGACGAAATTTGCGAAGAATTTTGCGACGAATTTTGCTACAAATTATTTGCGACGAATTTTGCGACGAAATATTTGCGACGGATAGTGTTCGTGGCTAATTTGCGACGAATTATTTGCGACGAATTTTTTTTCCGTCGCAAATTTGCGACGAAAATTAATATTTTCCGTCGCAAAAATTTGCGACGACCTAGTAGCGACGGAATTTTTTCCGTTTCTAAATTCGTCGCAAAAATGATTTGCGACGGATTTTTGCGATTTTTTCGTCCCAAAATCCGTCGCAAAAAACATGTTTTTTTGTAGTGCATCTCGAAGCTTCACACTCAGCTCTTGCCTCACAACATTTGTCAGCTACTATGGATTGAGGCGATACTATATAAATTGTCACATCCCTACATTGTAATCATCTCTCTCTCTCTAACAAACCACTCGTTTCTTAACGCGGTCTAGATCTCTCTCTTTAAAATTGATGCCTCATTCCTCATTTAAAACATAGCAGATTCTTTGAAGATAGTATCTCTGTTGATTATAAATCTCGGTAAATCCTCCTCAATGCAAACTTTTATCCATTCACCCCATATGCATAGCCTCGAAATAAGTACCTCTTTGCCCCTGACTCTTGTTTGGCATCCCTCACATAAGCACAAGCAGGGAAATCGAATACTCCTACTCAAGCGTAAACATAAAGCTTACCCAACCACGTTTCCTCAAGATTTTCCTCTCGACTGTAAGTAAAGATGATTTCTTCACTAACCAATAGCCAATTTTCATTACTTTAGCCCATAATTCTTGACCTAATCTTAGCATTGGAGAGTAACAAGTGAGCCATCTTCTATATAATTTTTTTGCATAAAGACACTAAATGTGCCAAAAGTTTAGTCCGACGCTCACTTTAATGCCAAAAGTTTTTTTAGGATTAGTTAAGTGTCACTTTTAAAAAAAAACGATCATTTAAGTGCTAACTTCGATTTGGATCACCGGAAATCCGATGTGGCCATATTTTATTAGTTTCTCCGGTCAATGTTACTTGCGAGCATGCCCAGTCAGCATATAGACCCCTAAATGACGTGTCTAAACATTTGCCCCAAAATATAAACCCTAAATTGCAAGTTGAAAGAAATTCCCCAATTTGAAACCCTAACGATGAGTCCAACCCAAAATAAAAACCCCAATTTGGTTTGCCCCCAAATTTACAGCGGTTTTCTGTGATCGTTGATTGTTCAACTAGTAAAGGGGGGTCCTAGTGGCATCACTCGCTAATGATTCGGAGCCAGCAGAGGAGGATCGAATGAGCTCGAAGCACTTCAAGCTTCCAAGGTAAGAAATAGGGCAAAATAGAGCCGCTCTTCTATTGCTCTGGGATGATGAATAGTGACGGTCGGTAGTGGCTCCGGTGGCTTGAAAACAGTGAGGAAAGCCATCACTAGTGGTTGACGCTAATGAATGAGCTTCAGGTAAACCCCAAACTCTTCAAGCTTTCTTCGCCGGAAAATAGAGTAGAAACGGAATGAATTGACCGTGGCTTAGCCGGCGACCAATGAGGGTAGTGAATGGCAGGCGGCTTCGATCTATGGCCGGCCTGAGATATTGGGGACCAGTGTGGGTTAATAGTGGCCGTCCATGTCTCTGCTCGTGCTCGATTGGGTGATGCCTTCAGGAGAATGACCGAGGCGGCATGGTGATTGATGGTAGCCATACGTGGGACGACAATCGTTGTGCATCGGTGGTGGTTGGGATTTTTTTTTTTGTGGAGGGGGTGATGGATGGTGCGTAGCGAATGACAAATGGTGGTGTCGTTCAATGGCGAGCGAGTGACCGCGACGGCGAGCATTGAACAAAGGCATTTTTCACGTGTGAGTGGTTGGACGTCGTTTTTAAACAACCCAACCACGTGGATTGGTTTTTTTAAAAAAATTGCCAACTCACATTAAGCTTTTAATTATAAAAGCCATGTAATATTTTTGGCCGGAATTTCTTACCGGAGGCACTTAAGTAAGCATTATTTTCTCTGATTTGGCACTTAAGTGAGATGGTGAAAACTTTTGGCACTAAAATGAGTGTCATAAGAAACTTTTGGCACTTTTAATGTCCTTATGCCTAATTTTGTTTATCGGTTCTACAACTCCGTTCTGTTGTAACTATTAACTATATTCCCCACATCACTAATTCTTTACTTTTTAGAATTATTAGCGTATTAAAATTCTTAACTTTTCAATAGATAGTTAATGATTCCATAATGGGGACAGACATAATAGTAAAATTCCATCACTCCATATATGCCAAAGCATTAATTCTTATGTTTGGAAATAATTACTCATCATTCTTCTTATTTCACGGTTAGAAGCATGATTGTTGTAAATATAGCTACTAAAGTTGGATGGTTTTTTTGTTCAAAATTCCTAATAATACTTCCTTACACTTTGGAATGTAAAGAAATTGGATGAATATGTAAATGTTTTTTAAAACTGGACTCTAAAGAATATTCTTTCATCTACATCCGCCCATGCAAACATCACACACGCTTGAATATTTACAAATATTGGACCTAGACGACAAATCAAATCAACAAAGTAAACCTTTAAAACCAACTAAATATGTAAACTGCGCAATTTTTTGGTTTTGTACCAGAAAACTATTTTTTTTTTTTTAAAACGGCTAACACTTTCTAACACTTACATGAAATTACCAATTTGTTTATAGTTTGCAAATACTAAGTTTTCATATGGTATAATGCAATGCCTTGCGGGCCCCTTCATCAGACAAGGGCAAAACCGCCCCAGCCCCGCCTCGCACGGGATGCAGGGCAGTGGCGGGGCAAGTTTTTAGCCTGTGGTTGGGAATCGAGAACGTGATTCCCTTACCCGTCCCGCCCTTAACCGTCCCTAACATTGTCCCTCAGTGATTATTTTATGAAGTTGGTAACTTAATTGACTTTATAATACCAATCTATATGTTCATTTGTTTTAAAACCCATCCATGAGGCAATTTCTTATCATTATTTTTTTTTAATCGGGTATCATTAATTAATTTTTAATATTATTAGCTATGTAATGCGATGCCCCGCCTCCCAATGAAGGGAAAACCGCCCTCCCCAGCGGGGCGTGTCCTTCCCTATGTGGCTCCCTTCCCTATTCTCCATGTCCTATGACATCCTTCTTTCGCCTATTGACTAGCTATACATCATTTTGAATTATTTGAGATCCTCATGTCAGTAGCATACCCATTAAAAGGATTAGGTTAAATGGATTCATGTTTACCAACAGTCTGTTTTAGCTGGCGTAAACTCCCCAGCAATTAA